ACGTCTTTACTCTGCCTTTACGCTGGATTGGTATTTGGGTTGAGTATCAAATTCTAGGTTGGAACTAATTTTCTTTCAGAAATTGCAGGCTCCTCTTGATTTCTTCTAGCTTCCAGGGTTGCCGTCGAGACTTCTGATACAATTCTAATTCTCGATTGTTGTCATGTGACTGAGTTTGCTCTTAGAACCTTTTCGGTTCTTCTCTTTATCTATAGTTTTAGGGTGCATGATGATGTGCCTTGATAGGGGGTTCTCATTCAGTGTGCTGGGAATCTGATAAAGCTTTTTAATCTGGAGACTCAGGTTCTCAGGAAATGTATCACTTCTTTGATACTTCTCTGTCCTTCATTTTCCTTAGTCTCTTTTTATTTTTTTGAGAAATTTTTTTACTTGGGTGTTGAGTTTCCAAGATTAATTTACTGATCTTTTATCACTTTTTGCCCATTTTTAAGTATTGTCATCTTTCTGCTAAGAAATTATTAATAGCATCTCCCAATTTTTTCACTGCAATTCAAGATTTCTGTTATCATATTTCAAATTTTTAATAAACTTTTTCCTGTTCCCTAATGCTCTCTCTTTAAATTCTTGCCTCATGAATGCAATAATAGTCTTTCTCTTCTTCCTCTCTGAGGATTTTACAGTTTTTATAGAGATTTCTTTGACTCCCTTTATTGTTTTTGCTCTAATCACTCAGTTACCACTTACCTGTCTACTTTCTGTCTTCCCAATTTAAGACATCTGTGGTCTTCTCTCACAATATTATTGTTTTCGTACTTTGTGGAATTATAACTCAAAACTGTCACTGTTAGTGAATTTTTTTTCAGTACTGAGTATCCAAGCCAGAACCTTACACATGTGAGGCCAGCAGTCCACACACTGAGCTACACTCCCAGCCCAGTTTTAGTGGATTTTTGAAAGGGAGCAGTTAAATATATTCCAGTCTTTCATTTTTAATATATAATTCCTTTGGATTTAAAAAAAAAAAAGCATACTGGCTTTCAAATCACTCTCAGACTGCCTGGCTACCTTTAGTTCTTTAGTATGATTTCTCCCATTATGTAGGCTGACTGTTGATCATACAATTGTTAGTTCTTTGTAACATCTGATTGGGAAACCATCTCTTGAAGGGTATTTTTCCTCATGAGAATCTTGCCTGTGTCCTGATTGTGAAGAAATGTCCATGGGCACAGTTTTATCTCTGTACGTACTGAAGCCCTATTGGGTCACAGGGTTCAGAGCATTGCTTGTCGCCCTTTCTTAGCCCTTGGTTTCCACAGCATTCAAAGTGACACCTCCATCATCATCCTCATCACCTGCTTCTGAGCTTTGGGATCCAGTAAGCTCCTCAAAGGGCCCACTTTCTTTCATGACCTGTGGCAGGGGCTGACTTAGGGTCCCATCTCAGAGCTGGGGGTACTGGTCTATCCCCATTCAAAGATGGTCCAGCTCCTTCCTGATTCCTGATCTGCTGCAGGGAATCGAGTTGCAGTTCTTTGTCATATGTGGAATTGCTGGACTCACTGATGCTACCATTCTTATCAAGGAGCTTTATGGTCTCCTGTGATCTCAACTTTTATTCACTAATAAGTCCACACATCTTGGGCCAGGGATATAGCTCAGCGGTATAAGCACCTACTTGGCAAGTGTAAGGTCCTGAGTTCAATTCCAGATACAAAAAAAAAAAAAAAAAAAAAAGTCTAAACATCTCTAAGTTCCCTCTTCAGCTCTCTCTATTTCTCTTTCTGTTACTTTTATTTCATTTTGAGACAGTGTCTCAATATGTAGTTCAGACTGGCCTTGAACTCACCATGTAGCCCAGGATGACCTGGCACTCATGGTGCTTCTCCTTGCCTCAGCCTCCTGACTGCTGGGACTGTGGGAGTGTACCATGTCTGACTCCATTGCTTCTGACTGTAGATATTTATTTAAAACATTAAAAATGTGCATTATCTAGTAGGGTGTGTGTGTGTGTGTGTGTTGGTGGTATGTTATGGCTTCTCATCTTCTTCTGTCCACTATAATGATTGGAAGTTAGTAAACATTCAAACAACACAAGAAATGAAAGACAGAGTTTCCCTTTGCATGCTTTATTTCCTTTCTCTGAAGCTTTGTTGAACCAGTCTCCTAGTGGATTTTCCCAGCACCTCCGCCCCCACACAAAGTCATGCTGGAGGATACCTTGATCGGATTTCTAGGTAATTCAGTGCGCACATGTGAGCTGGGGGTGTGAATGACCCCCACATTGTTTCAGAATTATCACACATTCTTCCTGCTCAGCTCAAATCGTGGGGGTGGAAGAAGTAACACTCAGAAGGTAAGTAGGGAGGAGCCTATGAGGAAATGCAGTCATCTCCGCCATGGGAAGGAATCCTGTTGCCCAACAGAAACCTAAATGGCCACATCCGTACCCCACCTCGTCCTTCTGTAAACAAGGTCACCTTCCTGAAAGAGCTGGCTCTGCTCCAACATGCTGGCGTGGAGTGGGAGGGGGAGATTCAGCACATCTCTGGTAAAGGGACATGCAGCGCAGGGCTCCCCACTTTGCCGGCATCCTTGGGCACCCCTTTCAGCTGGGGCCCTGAGTGTGTAGCCTTTCCTGTCCCCTGTCCCCACATGTTAATCAGAGCCAGCTCTCTGACTACGTAGTGAAACTCACATCTACCTTTGCGCTAAGCCCTTGAGACAAAACTGTGCACTGTGGAAATGAAATTTAGGGGGGACAAAGAAAATTTAGGAATGAAGTACATGTGAGGAGTTCATGAAATCCCACCTAAGGTGACAGGAACGAGGAGTCCTAGCTGAGGGCCCTACAGTACCACCAGCTGAGCCTACAGATTTGGAAAAATGCTTCTCACTGACTAAGAGACGTAGAAAAGGAAGGATGTCTGTGTTGGTTGAAAAGTCACCTAAGCTTCGGAAGCCCAGTTTCCTCTTCCATGAAAGGAGATCTAATCAGGTAAGTTACGCTCTAGTTCTGAGGTGACACGTCCTAAACTTCAGGATTCACTGAAATGTACAAATACTGCAGTATCTCTCCGTGGACTTGAAATGCAGATCCACTATCAGGAACCAGGCGCACCAGAGAGGCTGGTTCTCAGCATGAGCTTTCTAGGCAGCTGCCAGGCCAATCTACTGTGAGGCATTTCTGGGAGGCCTTTTGTCTGCTTCCTCCTCTCTCCCTGCAATCCTCCAGTCCCTCCTTCCTGGCCTATCAGAAATTCCTCCCTTCAGGGGCTGGGGATTTAATTTAGTGGCATAAGTGCCTGCCTGGCAAGTGTGAGGTTGTGAGTTTGATTCCCAGCATACCCCTCCCCCTTAAAAAGACGGCTTCCTTCAGAAGGTCCTTTGGGTTGGAGGAACACTTTCCCTTCACTCATCAAGTGTGCAAAGAGAATCTAGAGAAGACTGCGTTCTCCGAGGGGGGGGTCACCTCCCTCTTCGAGGTCATGAGCAAAGTGCTCCACAGGGTGTGGGTGCTAACAGCCGGCCTCCCCCTCTTGTCCACAGCACCTTGACACTTACTTACCTGACCTGCCTTTGGATTTCAGAACAACTTCTTAGACTAATCTGACACATAACATTTGCACATATTTCTGGGACACAGTACTATAGCTCGATACATATACACAAGGTATAATGATCAGTGCAGGGTCATTTGTTAGGAGAGAGGGAGAAACATGGAATCCGAAGGGGTTTGGGCAAGGGGAGAGCAAAGATTTACTGGAAGGGACCCCAAAGATATGCTGCTTTCGTGAAAGGGTCACTTTGATCCCTGAGTCCTTTTTTAGCTTTCAAGACATAAGGAGGACCCTTATGTCAATCCTTCATATATGTGTAATAGTCTCATAGTATTAACAGATTTTAATAATAGTTATCATGCTCTGGAAATTAAAGACTTACCGTGCGCCAAGCAGTGTGAAAGCACCTTTTAGAGGAATTATCATTTTAATCTAATGCTTGCTGAGACTTTATGATAGGAGTTACTATGCTCTTCATTTTACAGGAGGAGGAAACTTGAGGACCTCCCCCAGGGTATCGCAGCAGCAGTTAAGTGGCGAAGGTGTTTGGTTCAGGGCCAGGAGCCTTCAGAGCTGAGATTTGGACTGCTCGGGGACAAGCGGAAAAGCTCTTTGGTGGGGGCAGCCCTGAGCCAGGGCCTGGCTTGGTCTTTCCTCACTCGTTGCAAGATCTGGGTAAGGAATTTAGCTTCTCTGAAGCCCGGACTCCTTTGATGGTGGCAGCCTTAGCTGCACAATGTCAGGGTTCAAGGTGACAGAATTCTTGGACACCTGGTTCAGGCTCCAGTGACAGATGACATTTATTGTCTCTAAGAGCCTTGGGAAGGTGCTCCAGGTGCACTGTGTGGCAGGAAGAGCGGGGTCACCACCATCACAGGATCGGACCACTACAAATTAGATGATTCCTATTTAATATTCTGCAGTTTTTGTGCAATTGCATTGCACTTTTCTGTGCCTGGTCTTCTAACTTTGAAATTTTCTCAGACTTTCTTCTGGCTTCTGGTTATTTCTGTCCCTTCCCTCTCTACCATCTGAGTCCAGCAAGAATTTCTCTCTCTCTGTCTGTCTCTGTCTTTCTGTCTCTCTCTCTCTCCCTTTCTCTCTCTCTCTCTCTCTCTCTCTCTCTCTCTCTCTCTCTCTCTGTCTCTGTCTCTCTGTCTCTGTCTCTGTCTCCCAGCTAGTTATCAGTCTACCTCCTCTCAAGGTTGATGCCTGGGAGGTTCCTCAGCAGTACGATGCCTTCTGACACTGTCACCTGCTCTGCTCCCCCCGCCCTTCCTCTGGGTCCAGAGCGAGGTTAAATTCTCTTCCTTCTGATCAGCTGATGCCTGGTCCAGCCTCTGTCCTTGCAGTGTGGACTTCACTTACCTTTGCCACCCATGTCAGCCTTTCCCAGACTTCCGGCTCCTCCCCTGAGGTTTAGTATGTTGCATTTCTGGGCAGCACTTCTTCCCAGCACTGGACACTATTTATGTCATTTCTTCATTTTTTTGGAAAAAATTACTGAGCAACACATAAGGCCAGATCCTCTTGCTGTAACCCAAGGGGCAATGGGGAGAAAATGAACAAATTCTTGACTTGCTAGAGCTCAGACTCAGGTCTCTCATCTTATTTCTTTCAACCTTAAAAAACCAGACTCAGTGAATAAAAATGAGAAAATTTAGTGGAGCATCATGGTGCAAGGCTGTAATCCTGGTACTTGGGAGACTGAGGCAAGAGGATAGTTAATTCGAAGACAGCCTCATCTACACAGTGGATTCAAGGACAACTTGAGTCACACAGAGAGCTTATCTCAAAGGAAAAAGAAGAATAAAGAGAATTTACTGCATAAAATATCATCTTATAGAAAAATTAGGAAATTAAGGTAAGCTGAAAAAGACAATAAAATAGACTAGACAAGAATTGGAGACAATCAGTGTTAATAAGTAGCTGCCCATCCTTCCTTACTACATATAATACTATTTTTAAGTTTAAATTTTAACATTAATTTACTTTTTGAGACAGGGTCTCACCACGTGGCCCAGGCTGGCCTGGAACTTGTCACACTCGCAGCCTGGAAACTGGTTCTCTCTCATCGCTTCTCTTCCTCTCCAGGTCTCCTTTTTATGCTGGCAACAGTCCTCAGGTGAGTCATCTGTTGTAACCCACCCAAAAAACAAGGCCCCATGATGAAAATCGGGGCAAGACCCCTGAGATGACAAACGAGGCAAGACGTCTTTTTAAAAGAAGCAATTTTATTTTAGCTGGCCCAGCGACACAGTGCAGATAGAGTTTGCAAAGCTGTGCAACTGAGTTAGAGTTTTGACTGATTTTTATAGTTCATTTATGATTAGCTCATTGATCATTAAGTACATAGCGATGAGAAACAGAAACAAGGTGGGCCTTTGTTCCCCTTTGCTTGAGGTCAGAGGCATTTCACAGTGGGTGGTTAGCCAATTCATAGCCCTTGGTGTGCCAATTCCAGGAACATTTGTCTCTCATAAAGGGAACAATGGTTGACACAGCATCATTTGTCTCTTACAAGGGGAACAAAAGTTGACATAGCACACAGGTCACTAAGGGGGGGGATGACGCATTGCAGAACAGCATAACTATGTGGTCAGTTAATTTATAACTATGTGGTTGGTGCTTGGTTACTAGGGTAACGAGCTCAGTACAGAATGACGATATTGCTAATAACTATCTTTATTTTTTGGTCTTTTTTTCCTTTTTATCGGTACCAGGGATCGAACTCATGACTGCCTGCTTGCAAGGCAAGCACTTATGCCGCTGAAGTAAATCCCCAGCATCTATAACTATCTTTTAAAGTAACTATTTTTGTTAATTATCTTTTAATCAATTATTTTAATTTTTCAACATCTTAGTATAACACCATCTACACTCAGCACCATGCTGACTCAGTTCTGCTGGTGTTTAAATTGACCACCCGTTACCAATGGTCTATACCCAGATTGAGCTCAAACTCACCATTCTCCTGCTTCAGCCTCCAAATCCCTGGGAATACAGGCATGTACCACTATGTTCAGTTTAACCCATCTAGTCTTGTAAACAAGGGTATGGGAAGCATTTTTGCCCCTAAAATTTTATGAAAGAACTTGGCCGCTTTTCTAGGACAAATACTATATTTCAAAGTAGAATCTGGATGAAAGGGAGTACATTTTAGACTGTGGAAACATATTACCAAATTCATTCATTCAACAGATTACTAGTGACCACAGTTTCCCTGGGGCTGGAGTAGGTGTCAGAGGTATGCAGTGTTCCAAGCAGATATGGGCTCTGTCCTTCTGGGGCTTACGCTCTGGTCACAGCAGACATGTAGACATAAGTGTGAAGTCAGGCCCTAAGTAGTGCTTTGAGCAAAGCAGGGTGAAAGAGTGGGAGGTGAGGGGTCCTAGTGTAATTGGGGTGGTGAGGGAAAGATTCGATATTAGGTGACCTCTGAGTAGAGACTTGAAGGAAGTAAACTAAGTCCTGGGAGGTCATTCCAGGCAGAAGGGACGGCAAGTGCAAAGGCCCTGAGCCAGCACCATTCTTGGCTCCAAATGAGGAGGGAGCTTGAAGGCAAGGAGGGCAGGGAGGGCTTTGAAGGAGATGATAATAGACAGGGAGCTGTGGGCCAGGTCAGGTGGGGCTACATTGGCCAAGGCTGGGAGCAAAGTTTTCATCAAGCTGACTGCAGGTGGAGAGGCGACTGCCACCATTCTGGAAAGAGACGAGGGTGCCTCGGCAAGGAGCCAGTGATGAGAGAGGGCCGGATCTCCATTCCCACAGTAGCATATGTCAGCACAATGTCCTCACTTGCCACACTTCCTCCTTCAACTTCCGTTTCCTGTGGGCTTTTGCTTCCTTCCTGCATCTTCTGCTTCTTTTGGTCTCTTTTTTGGGCTCTTCCTCTTTCCTGTTTCAGTCCCTTGAATGCTGACATTCTCCCAGATTCTAATCTCTTCGCTTTTCTGTCCTTCCTCTATTCTCCAGGTTCCCTGGGGATGTCCTCTACTTTGGTGGCTCTAGTTCTCAATGCGTGAGAGTCCCTGAAACACCTTTGTAGGCTAGCCAGACTTCCCTGGACTTCCAGAGCTGGGATCCCCAGTGCGCACTGCCGTACCAGCTTGTAGGCTAGCTGGGAGTCCAGAATTGAAGCCAACATCTTTCTCTCAAACCTGCCCCTCTCAGGCCTCTGTCCAAGCTGCGGGATGAAGGATCCCTGTGACCCCCTGCCTCCTCACTGCCCTGGCCTCATCTGGCTGAGAGCCGAGTCCTGTAGATTTCCCCTCTGAGATGTGTGAGCTCACCTCCTGTCTCTTCCCAGCTTCCTGTTGGTTCTCTGTCCAGACTCTCACCCTCTCTATGATGACCTCATGATCGGATCCTGCCTTGAGCACCCACCCCTTGCAACTTACTCGCATACCAGCCCTGGGATCGATTGCACTGTTCTGCTTCGGGTTCTCCCAAGGTCCTGATCCACTGAGAATTCAAACGCTCTAGCATAGTGTTCAAGGCCCTTGGTGGTCTGGCCTTGCCTACTGGACCAGGCCGGTGATCTGTCTCACTTTTACCTCTAACATGGTCCGTTTTATTGGCCAAACTGGATTCCTCAGATTCCTCCGAATATAGCATGCAATCTAGATTTCTTTGGCCGTATGTGACAGAAGCCTGCTTTAATGAAGCCAAAGCCAGAGGGATTTAGTAGAAGAATCCAAGGCATTTGGTAGATCCAAAGGATTCCAAGAGGCACCAGGAGCAGGAGTCTGGCTCCTTTCGCAGGCTCTCTCTCTTTAGTGCTACTGAGTCCTCGGCTCTCCTGCATTTAGCAGGTCCGTCTCGCTCTTCTTTCAGGTTCACCTGTGATGTCTGATATCTTTTGCCCACAGACACATCCCAAGTTTACATCGTCCAGATCTCATGAAAAGTGCATGTAGCGGGCAGCTCGGTCTCCCATTTCCAAGAGATAACAATGCTACGGTCAGGGAGGTGACATCAGGTAAAAAGATGCAGCTTGAGCGGGAAGGCTTGGATGATGGCCCCGAAGAATTCTCTAAACTCGCCATGCTGAGCCTTTGCTATACCATTCTTGGCATGCATACCCATCCCTGCATTTGCACAGGGCTCAATTCTGTTCACACTTCAAGAGTTAGCTTGAGGGCTAGGCTCCTGGAAAACATCACTACCTTTGTATGACAGGCAAGCGACGATGGTGAGGTACAGCCTGTGTTAGCGCCACAGCTAGGAACTCGAGTGAACTTTGAATTTTATATCAACATCTCTGTGCATAAAGCTCAGTTCACATCACTATATCTGTGAAGTCAGAACAAAGCTAAAGTTTTAAATTGGTATGAATAGCTAGTATTGGATAGAACTTACCACATTGTAGGTATTGGGTTAAGTGCTTTGTTCATATTAACTAATGTAATCATTGACACTGCCCTGGGAGGCTTGCTCTTTAATTCATAAGTTTTGGGGTGGGGGAAGTGGTTCTGAAGATTGAAGCCTAGGCCTTCCACTAAGCTACATCCTCAGCCCCCACTTCTTATTTTTTTGTTTGGTGACAGGCTCTCACCAATTTACTAAGTTACCGAGAAGGGATTTGAACTTGTCTCAGCTTCCCAGGGTGCTGGATTTAGAGGCAGGCACAACCTTGCTTGACTAACAAGAATTTTTTAAGTGGTTGGGGGGTTGGGCATGATGGTGCAGGCCTGCAATCCCAGCATGGGGAGGCTGAGGCAGGAGAATCGCCATGGGTTCAGCCTGGACTACATTGTGAATTCAAGGATAGCCCGAGATAAATAGTGAGATTGTAGCTCAAAAAGAAAAGATAAAATGGTGGTGGTGGTGAGTATTTTATAACATTGGATATTCAAATTCTGGGCTTATGTTCCTCATGATGATGCAGTTTCCTTGCCAAGCACAGCCTTTTCTCCATGTAGGACCTGCTGGCCACTGCGGGCCTTAAAAATCTTTGTAGTTGCATCCAAGCACTGGGCTTATTCGGCCTCCTCCTGGGTCACATTTTGTTTCTGTGTTTGATGTTTGGGAAGAAGACATGCTTGAGTACCTTGCATTTTTAGATCCATTTCTTTACTCAATTTCACATAAATGCCTGTGGGCTCCATTTCTGACACTTCCAGAAAAAAGTCCGTTTCTCAGGCACACCAGAGAGAATGAAGAGCTTCTTGGGTCACCTGTGGAAAGTTTTGCAGGGCGTCACAAACAGTGCTCCTGAGGGCAGGACTGTCAAGCACTTGGGGCCAGCGGGCCAGCAGGGGTCACGTTGCTTCACAGATCAGGTGCAGGTCACCCTGCAAGTGCTGCAGCCTGAGTTACCTACTTCTTTCAAAATGACAGGACGGGAGTGGGGGTGTGGCTACTGCCATGCAGGCCTGCAAAGCTCACACCAGGTGCTGATACCTTACCTTACAAAGCCCTGTGCAGTCATACTCATGTTGTCGCAGATGTCTGTAAATCCCATGGTAGCTCCTATTCTGGGCTCGCTAAGGGTCTGTGCATGGCTGTGTCAACCAAAGAGTTTGCTCCTTCCATTTTCCCCTGCAGATTCTGAAGCCAAGAGATACACACTCCACACAACTTCCTAAGAACTCAAATGGTAGACTGGGATTTAGCTCAGTGGCACAGCACCTGCCTGAGTTCAATTCCTGGCATTCCCCCCTCCCGCCCCCCCAAAAGAACTCAGACAGCTGTGGCTCAAAGTCACTTCTTTTTTTTTTTTTTAATTTTATTTAAGGAGAAAAAAAAAACAGAGAAAGGGTACAAGTTATACAGATTTACAGAAAAAAATAAACAGTAGGAAATCACTAGTTAATGGATTACACATTGTCATCCCAGAAATAACTGTTCAAGTCACAAAACTAAAGCTTGTAAAGTGGACATTCCAACAATGATACTGCAAACACTTCTGTTCAATGATCCAATAAAACTCAGTGATATAATTTTCTATCTTATACACTTAAATATACATGCAGTTATATTATGTAGAGTACTTTCTTTTCCTCTCTTTTGTACAATGACTATTACACATTTTGGGTTTTATTGCTCCCACGATTCTTACTACTTTTTTGGAAGAGAATAAAACCAAACGTGACATAACAGAACAGAGTCGGTCAAATCAAA